CGATGATAGCTATGAAGGGATGATACAAATCTTTTCGTCTTGATTGTATACAGGCATTACAACTCAAACTGTACCTCTGAGACGTGTGTGCTTTATTAGATGTAAATTATACCTTCATAAAGGTAATTTTTTTTAAAAAGGTAATTTTCTTTTTTAAAATTTACTCATGGGGGAGGGTGAAGCAGAGGGATGAGGATGTGCAGGGAGAGGGGAGATTAATCATGGAGTTGTACAATTTAGTAGAAGGATGAGAGAAATTGGAATAATCTGTTCTCAAAAACAGTGTATTCGAATTTTTAAAATTAGTATCTTAAAAAAACAGCTTGAGGAGGGGGAATGGAGTGAGAAGGGGTAAAATGTGCAACAATGAATGAATGAAAATCTAACTTTTCTGTAAACTTTTGTTAAAATCACAATTAAAATAAAAAAATTCCTTTTAAAAAAAGTTACTCATGGAAGAGACTAGTGGAGAGAGACCCCAAGACTATGGCCATAGTTACCCTTTGAGACAGAAATTAAACTCACTCATGGCTCAACTTTCAACCAAACAATAGACAGATGAATAACGGTACTAAGGAGGTGCTCACTCTGTAGAAGAACCACCCAAAATAAAAAGGGCAGCATTTTTCTCTGGGAGTAGGCTAAAAAGGCATGGTCGGAGAAGAGAGTGGGATGAATAGAAACAAGAACCACAGGGGACGGGAGCTCTGGTGGCCTAGTGACAAGAAGCTACACAGCAATCTCAGAGGTATGCAGTTCGAATCTACCAGATGCTCTGCTGGAGAAGGAGGGGCAATTTCCTCCTGTACCAGTCAGATCCGATTTGACAATATACACACGAAAAACAATAAAATAAAATAATTTTAAAAAAAGAACCACAGGGGGAAAGTGCTGCTATGATGTGGGGATTATAATCTATGTTATAAGATAAAATGTGTGACAAATGCTTGAAAGGAAAACCAATCTACTCCATTACCTTCTCCTCAAGCCACAATGAAAAAGTGAAATCAGTCAGAAGACACGGAGAAACAGAGTTCATGTCCAAATACTGATGGAGAAGCACATCCAGGAGAAATGCAATCTGATTCTGACCAACAAATTTGTGTTGGTTTGGTGAGCTGGTGGATTATTCTTCCTGAGGAGCATCAGGTTCACCATTGGTGCTGTTAGTGGTTGATGACAGTGGGGTTGGGTGTTTGTTTTATTAATGTCAATGAACATTAACAGAGGTTTTGGATTTCCATTCATTCATTGTTGCACTTTTCTTCTCGCCCACCCCACCCCACCCCCAGTTCGCTCTTCTCTTTGAAAAGTAAAAGAAAAATCCCTTCATTGGTACACAATCCCCCCGCACCCCCACACCCCCACCCGAAGTATACTCCACTCTGCAATCTTCATTCTGGACTCTTATGATAATCATAATGCCCTATAATATACTGCTTTTAAACTGTTCTCTCCCTCATCCCTTTCAATGCAGTATACATAATTCATCCAGTTTTTCTCATTCTTACCCCAACCGTGATGTCAGTCCCATTCTACAGCAGTGGCACTATGCATTGTTTGTCCTTTTGTGACTGAGATATTTCACTCAGCATAATGTCCTCCAGGGTCACTCATTTTTAATAATATTGCATGAGTTCCTTGTTTTTCAATGCAGCGTAGTATTCCATTGTGTGATTATACCACAGCTTCTCTATCCATTCATTTGTTGATGGGCACTTAGGTTGTTTTCAACTTCTTGCTATTGTGAACAAAGCTGTGATAAACATGGGTGTGCATATATCTGCTTGGATGTCAGTTATGGTCTTCTTGGGGTATATTCCCAGTAGTGGAATTGCTGGGTCAAATGGTATCTCTATTTGTAACTTTTTGAGAAAGCACCATACCACTTTCCACAGTGGTTGTACCATTTTACACTCCCACCAACAGTGAATAAGGGTTCCAGTTTCTCCACAACCTCGCCAGCATTTGTTGCTTGCTGTTCTGTTAAATTTTGCTATTCTGACTGGGGTGAGATGATATCTCATAGTTGTCTTGATGATGACAGTGTTAAGAGGGTGATGAGCTACATATGTGCCTGCCACCCTTCTCCCACTCTACCCGAAAGATGATACAAAAATGGCATCTCACATTAGGTTCATGATTTTTTCAGATTATCAAACTTTAATAATAAATTGTGGGTCTTGGGTGCTGTCAGTCAGCTCTTATATTGTTGTTATATACCATCGAGTTGGGACCAACTCATAGCTGATCCACCAACAGGCTTTCAGAGGCAGTGAATCACATAGAAAAAGAGTGCCCTGCCCATCTTTCTCTTGCAGAGTAGCTACTGGATTTGAACCATAAGTCTTTGGGTTGGCAGCATGAATCTTTATCATTAAGCTACCAGAGCTCCCAAGACATTTGGTCTAGTGGTAAGGAGCTGCACTGCCAACCCAAAGACACATGGTTTAAGTCCACCAGCTCATCTTCACTGAAGAAAAAAGATGGACAGTCGCCTCCTGTATAATTTATAGCCACTGAAAACTCACTAGAGGGTCAGCTATGAGTCTGTTCTAACTCAATGGCACATAACAACATGTATAACAGAATAAAACTCTACCCTAGTCTGCGTGATCCAAGCATGATGTTTTTCTGCAGGGACATGTTATCCTCCTGATAACATGCCCAAAGTATGTGAGTTGAAATTACACCATCCCTGTACCCCTAACTAGCACCATAGCACAAGAGTTATAATCTATTTGATGTTTTATTACCATTGGATCTTACTTCTTGAGTCCTAGGAATGGTTTAGGGATATTTGTCCTTTGAGGTTTATATCAGCGTTTTGACTAGAAACAGTGATTGTCCCCAAGTTAAAGAAAAGAAGATGGTTCAGAGGCGGTTGGTAATATGCCTAAGAAAATTCCTATGCTGGGAGTTGGCAGAGTCAGGATTTGAACCCAAAACCCTTGACTCCTGACTACTACTTCCCCTGATGGAATAGCAGCCTAGACTCCTGGAAACCATCAGATTTCCCCTTTTCTTTCAGCAGACGGGTCCTAAAAGGCTTATGGAAAACAAGTTTATTATGAACATTTTCAAACCTAGAAAATCGAGATAGTTTTACAGGTAACCAACTAATATTCAAACCCACTGCCATTGATTTTCACTCACAGTAACCCTCCATCAGACTTCCACAGCTGTATATCTTTGCAGCAGGTGTTTGCCCATCTTTCTACAGTGGATTTGAATTGCTGAACATTTAGTTTTGACATAATTAGTTTGACATAGTTTGATACTATGCTGCCTGAGGTCCTTACATAGAAAAGTCCAGAGTTCCCTGCATAGAAAGTGATATGCTATGGTTCACAGTATATAGCTGTTTATTATATACTAAAGCAAGCGTTTGACTGACACTGGATATCAACCATACCTAACTTCCAACAAATATAATTTAAAGACAAATTTAGGAACAAAGCTCATAATCCAGGCACTGTCTTGCATGTTGCTACAATACTGGAAGTTTTGGCCTTGTTATAACTTTAACCAGTGACACAACTGTAACCAGTGACTATAACCCACAGCGGACAGTTTTCAGTAGTTTCCATATTAAGAGAGACTAGGAAGAAAGCCCTGGTGAGATACTTTTTTTTCTTTTTTCTGGTGATCCACTTTAAAAAAAGAAAATAGCCAGTGAAAACCTTATGGATCACAGTAGAGCTCTAGACACCAAGAGGAGTGTAGCTACTAGAAAGGAGAGCATGTGTTGGTAGACTGCACTGGGCCTTAAGAGGTTTTTGTGACACAAATTGACACAGCAACCAGAAGAACATGCTGGTGATTATGAGAATGATATAAGATCGAGCAATGTCACAATCATAGTCAAGTCAGGGACCTTTTGTCCTTGGAGGGAAATATACATGATGAGATGATCCTGTCTCCAACCTTCCCAACGGGAAATTTTTCCCATCTAGACAGAGCAGATTATCCGAGAGGCAAGGCTCTATGAGGAGAAGTGTGGCGTTAGGATTGGTGGACAATCTATCAACAGTCTGCGTTATGCAGATGACACAACCTTGCTCGCTGAAACTGAGGAGGACCTCATGTACTTGCTGCAGAGGGTCAAGGACTGCAGCCTTCAATATGGACTGAGGCTCAATGTCAAGAAGACAAAAATTCTCACCACTGGATCAATCGGTAGCATCAGGATGGATGGTGAAGAGATAGAGATTGTTCACAGCTTCAGTTTGCTCGGCTCCACGGTCTTGGCACCAGTAGTCAGGAAATCAAAAAACGTATTGTGATGGGAAAGTCTGCGGTTAGTTAGGGACCTCTCCAAAATACTCAAGAGCAACAGTGTCTCTCTGGAGACTAAGGTCCACCTGATACAGGCCATGGTTTTTGCAATCACTTGTTATGCATCAGAGAGTTGGACAATGACTAGGGAGGATAGAAGGAGAATTGACGCCTTTGAGCTGTGGTGCTGGAGAAGAGTATCGAATGTACCATGGACTGCCAAGAAAACAAACAGATTCATCGTAGAGAGGATTAAACCAGGCTGCTCCTTGGAGGCAAGGATTCTGGGGCTTCATCTGACATACTTTGGACATGTTGTAAGGAGAGACAGGTTTTTAGAGAGGGACATCATGCTGGGTAGAGTAGGGGGACAGCGCAGGAGGGGAAGACCCTCTATGAGGTGGATTGATTCAGTGACTGGGGTACTCGGGATGGGTGTGTCGAGGGCAATGAGATTGGCACAGGATAGAGCACGGTTTAGGGCTGTTGTACGTAGGGTCGCTATGAGTCGCAAACGACTCTACGGCACATAACAACAACAACAGACGTCAGTGCCTGGGCTTGCTAGGCACTCCTAGGTGTAGCAATCCCAAGTGTCCCACGGACCCGGTGGGATTACAGTCAAGCCAGAAGGACCTCACAGTCTGGGATGCAGGATACAGAATGACCGCCTGTGCTGACCAGCTCTTTCCTTTCAACCTGCAGGACGCCAACGGGTAGAAATGGGCACCTGGGTCTCAAAGCGGCAGCAGCACCCAAGCTCACCTATAACCCTGGATCAACTGCCCCCTGAGTTGCTGGTGCAGGTGCTGAGTCACGTGCCTGCACAGGCCTTGGTGACACGCTGCCGCCTCGTATGCCGCATCTGGCGTGACGTGGTGGATGGCCTCAATGTGTGGCTGTTAAAGCTGGCGCGTGACCACAGTGCCCAAGGACGCGCGCTTTATGCTGTGGTCCAGCGCTACCCACCCACCCCTGAAGATGAGTTCCCACTCTGCGCCCTGGCGCGCTACTGCCTGCGCATGCCTCTCACCCGCAACCTCATCTTCAACTCCTGTGGCGAGCGTGGGTAACAGGGTCAGGGTGGGGCCGACATGAAGAATGGGAGCCTGAGTGGGGCGGAGCTGAGAAGAAGCAAGGGGCGGGGGTGTGAATGCAGACCCTACCATAGATGCTGAGTGTAGAGCTGGGTCAGGTGGAGCCAAGGAGATCCCAGAGTATAAGGGCTGCAAATCTTACTGATCGCCAGAGCTGGAGGATCCAGCATAGGAAACGGCTCTTGGGAAACTGAGGGGCCAAGGCCAGGACGAGTGGAGAGATGGACTAGGGAAGAAATTGACCAGACAGGAGGAGCCAGAAGCTGTAGGCCTAACCTTAGAGAGACAGGATGAATGGACTAAAATTAAGAAGTGGGGGCATGGAGCTGTGACAGAGAATGTTTTTCGTATTCATGCAGGAAAGATAGACTTATGGGTGTGGCTAACGAGGAGGAAATCAGGGACAGGCTGGGAGAAGCACATTGGGTGTTGGAGATGGTGAGGAGGCAGAATTTATTGGCTGGAGGTGGAAACCGACAGGGGTAGGGGAGCGGAGCCGGGGTGGGTGCTGCGGGGTAGCTGGAAGGTAACGGAGGAAGAACAGCTAAGCAATGTAGAGGAGTTGATGAACAAGAATAAGTGACATAGTCTTCAAGTGAGACTAGGAAGAGAGCTCTGGTGGCCTAGCTCATAGGGAACTGTGGCCAACTCAAATGTGGTGCCTCTGACAGTTCAAATTCACCAGCTGGGCAATCTTCTTTAGTAAGATTTGTAGCCTCCAAAAACCTGCTATGAGTCACCTCTGACTAGATGGCCATGAGTTGAGGACTACAGGCATCTGACGGGCAGTGTGCTGCAAGGAAGGGCAGATTGGTAGGAGCATGGTGGTGAAACTGCTGGAGAGCTGGTAAGTGAATCTCTGTGGTCAACTCCTATTCTATCCCACAGAAGGCTTAAAAGGCTGGGAAGTGGAGCATGGTGGGAATGGCTGGGCCGTGGAAAAGAATGTGACTCCAGTACCAGGGGCGCCTTCCCAGACCTGCTTCGTGACTTCTTTTGAGTGAGTAGCCCCTGGGGAAAAGGGCCCTGGAAGGAGAGGAATCCCACTCCATCATATTTACCTCACGGACTGACACAGTGACTGCAGCAATGAGCTCAAGTGTATCAGAGATGGTGAGGCTGGCACAGCATTCAAATCTGTTGTTCACAGGGTCATTATGAATCGTACTACACTCCACAGCACCTAACAACAATCCATCTTCATTGACTCCTTCCCTCATTTATTCATAATCAAATAGGTACTCGACACTGTTTTGTCTGCCAGAGAGCCAGGGGAAAAGAAGAAACAAGAACCTCCTTTCCATTTATATATTAGATAGAGATAGGGACCACATTAAACCTATGAATGCCATAATAATACAACATACATTGATGGGTTTCATGCTGTGTCAGATACTATTGCAAACACTTTCCACATAACTTCATTCTCACAACCATCCTGTGAAGTACTACTATTATTTATGTTATTTATTTTGTTTTTCTATGGAGTTGATGGTGAACTCAAACTGGCAACGTTTTGGTTAGCAGTTCAACATGCAATGTGCTGTGCCACTAGGGCTCTTCTTTAATATGTAGAAAAGGGGGGGGGGGGAATTAGATCCTTCCTAACACCACACCCAAAGATAGACTAAAGACCTAACGTTAAAATATGAGGTTACCATTGTTAGGTGCAGTCAAGTGGACTACATCTCACAGTGATCCTATAAACAACGGTTCTGAACCTTGCCCTATCCTGCACCATTCTCTTGATTTGTGATATGCTCAGGCCCACTGTGATAATCTGTGTCAGTCCATCTTATTAAGGGTCATTCTCTCTTTCTCTGACCCCCCCTTTTCCACAATGATGCTTTTCCCCCCAAGGACTGGCCCCTCTTGATCAAGCGTATAGAAGACTACTGTTATGATATACTAATAAGTTTTTAAGCAAAATTTAAAAAACAATCTCTAAAGCAAAACACAACAGGGACAAAGGTATGTGATTACATTAAAAGAACATATTTCTGTCCAACAAAGAACCCCATGTTATGTTGTGGTTATTTTTAGGTGCAGAACAACAGTTCTGAACCCCCTGTTCTATGTCCCATCCTCACACTTCCCAACACCCTAGAGCCCACCGTGGAAGTCACCATGTCAATCCACCTGGTCGAGAGTCTACTTCTCCTTCACTTGACTCACCCTACACCTTTCTGAGCATCATGTCCCCTTTCAAGGAATAGCCCCTTCTAGCAACATGTCTGAAGTTATGTAAGGCAAAGCCTCATCATCTTTGCCTCCAAAGAGCACTCTGGCTGCATTCTCTCTAAGACATATTTGTTCTTTTGGCAGTCCATGTAATGTGTGCTCTTCCTTCAACACTGATGATCAAAGGTATCAATTCTTCTTACATCCTTATTCATTGTCCAACTCTCAGATGCATAGCAAGTGATTGGAAATACTACAGCCTGAATCAGATACACCTTGGTCCTCAAACCAATATCATTACTTCTCAATAATTTGGGGAAGTCTGTAACAGAAGACTTTTCCGGTACAGTTCTCCTGATTTCCTGACAGCTGGTAGCAAGGGTGTTAATTGTGGATCCAAATAAGATGAAGTTGTTGACAGGGTTTAGGGCTGTTGTGCATAGGGTCGCTATGAGTCGTAAATGACTCGACAGCACATAACAACAACAACAACAATGATGTCAGTCAGTTTGAAGACTATAGTGCCCCTGAGTCAGTTCCTGGCTAAATTAGCTGCACTTCAACCTACATCAGAGAGCTGAAAATTAAATAAGGATGATAGAAGAATTGATGCCTTTTAGTTTGAGTACTGAATATTTCATGGGCTGCCAAAAAAAAAGACCAAATAGACATGTCTTGGAGAGAGAACAGCCAGTTTGCTCCCTAAAGGCAAAGATAGTGAAGCATTATCTCTCATACATTGGACATGTAGCTAGTTAAGGTTATTAAGGGAACACTGCATGGTTCAAAACTGGGAAGAGCGTACACCAGGGATGCATCCTATCTCCACACCTTTTCAACCTATATGCAGAACAGATTATCCGGGAGGCTGGGCTCTATGAGGAGAAATGTGGGGTCAAGATTGGTGGACGATTTATCAACAATCTGTGTTATGCGGCTGACACAACCCTGCTTGCTGAAACTGAGGAGGACCTGAAGCACCTGCTGCAGAGTATCAAGGACTGCAGCCTACAATATGGATTGAGGCT